CTTGATAACTGTGCTCCCTGGAGCCACCGATTTGGGCCTGGGGGAAGGAGAAATAAATTTTTGTGCAGGAGTTAAATGGTGTACATATATATATATTTTTAAAGTGTTTCTCTTTGGGCTTGAAAAAAGATGGAGTTGGCCATTTGGCGTGTTCACCAGCCATCCCAGCCATGTCTCAAGATATATTAGGAACATCTTCCAGGCAGTTACTCCAATCACTTCAAAGCAGAGGTCTCCTCTTTGTCTTTCATCTTTCGATTATGCAGAAGGATGCTTTTGAGGTCTTCAGCTTTCTGCCCTTCCCTGTCTGGGTGCCCCTCTCTCCAAGGAGGACAGGAACCGAGCCCGGGACAGGGCGATCCTAGAGGTTGGAGCAAAGCTGGGCCTCTGAGTAGTCAGACAGCACCTCCTGGGTCTCAGGCTCAGCTCCCAGGGCCTCAAAGTGAGAGAGGGTCTGGGTTCAGAATTTGTCAGTGTTTAGAGTTCAGCGGGTCGCATGTCTTTTGCCAAGCAAAGAGCACAGCTCTGCCTACCAGCCACCTGGCATAGTTGCACAGCACAGTAATTGCTCCCAACCTCAGGCATGTGGAGGGCAAAGAACAATGCATTTATTTCTTCCTGAAAATAATGGGCAAAATTACAACCCCAGTGGCTGAGAATTGGGACCCCTACCAAGTCGATATGAAGGAAATTATGACTGAAGCAAAAGACAAATGATCTGCCCTTTTCAGAACATCTGAGCATTTTCCATGGTGTGGCAGTCCTGCTGGGGTTGGTAGTGATAATTATTCCTGAGACACACACACTCTTTCTGGAAGAAACAGTTGTTTTCATCATACACTTCAAAGTGTTTTCCTGTACCTCATCTCCTTAGAGCCTCAGAACAAACCTGTGAGGAGGGTGGGGCCAGTGTGATTATTTTCCTTTGGAGAAAGAGGAAAACAGGTTCACAGAGGCAAAATAATTTGCTTCCAGCCACAGAGAGAAGAAACCAGCATTGCCAACCTTCCATTCTGGGGATTCTATCACTTTAGAAGCTCAGGAATGAGACCCAAAATAATTCTTCCAGGAGTTTGGCCCTGCCTTCTAGAAGAAGATGAACCTTGCACATGATTTTTCCTTTGCTTCCCCGTTAGCGTCTTATTTAGGGATCTCGAAGGACAGAGAGAGTGGCTTCCTTCCTTTTCCTTTCCTGCCAACGAATACAACACCCGCATTTAGCAAGTTAAAAAGGGATGCCGAAAATGAACTGCGACGGTGCAGAACAAGAGCGGTGACTGAACGGGGCTGCAGCACCACTTGGCTGGGTGTCGCCCAGATCAAAATACTCCTTGAAGTTGAGAGTGTGCACGCATGCTGTTGCTTGAGGAATTGTTCCAGTTCTTGAAGGGGGAGAAAAAAAAATCAAATCATTTGCATTCTAACAGCCTTTGGCACCAGGGAAAACTGTCAACTGTGTCACGTGTAAATAGAAATCTGCTTCCCAGTTTTGGTGCATTTTTTTCATCACTTCCCTCGCCACTCTAATTATCAAAGATATTTTTGTTTTTAAACAAAAATTGTCTCCTACGCAGGCCCCATCTCCTTTCTGCGGTGAAGTGGAAACAATGAATTGGAATATTCTAATCACTTCTCCAGCAGCCACTGCTAAGGTTATAAACTCAAGATTATCCTGAGTAAAGAAAACTTCAGGCACCAGACAGGTCAGAAAATCAGAGTGCCTCCTCGACCTGTCTCCCCGGCCATCTGAGCTCACATCTGTTAAACCCAAGGAAGGAAGCACAACTGGCTCCACTGAAGTAAAACCCGAATCCCATCCCCCAAGGGCACAGGCTTTTCAGGTTAACAAAACTAAAAACCAGAATTTAGCGCCGGTTAGCAACTGTTTTGGACATAACCGAGCAGGCACACCACAACTGTTTAAGTTCCTATCCAACGCCCAGTAGTAGGGGAGAGGCTCCTCGGATTGGTCATCAAGAATAAAACGTAATCCATCAGGTAGATTCTGTCTGCTGTTAGCTGGTAGACAGGGGTCACATGTGGGCAGCCCTGTGTAGGGCCGGATCTGTGTTTTCTCAATTAAACCCCAGCAGAACCCTGCGTGAAGTATATTTCCCGTTTTCAGAAATGAGGACGCTGAGATGAAGATAAATCACGCAGCTAGTGACATCTGTGGTAACATGACTCATTAGTGACATCCGTGGATCCTTCCTTGGTGGTGAGCCATTCACCTCTTCTTTAGGTCATTTTACAGAATATAGCTATTTCAGCTCCAATATTTTGGTCACCTGATGCAAACAGCCAGCTGATTGTAAAAGACCCCAATGCTGAGAAAGATTGAGGGCAGAAGAAGAGGGCGTCAGAGGATGAGATAGCTGGATGACATCACCAATGCAATGGACATGAACTCTGGGAGATGAGGGACAGGGAGGCCTGGCGTGCTGCCATCTATGGGGTTGCAAAGAGTTGAACACGACTGGGTGACTGAGTAACAATATTTCAATGTTGAGAACAGGAGGAGAAGGGGACGACAGAGGATGAGATGGTTGGATGGTGTCATCGACTCAATGGACATGAGTTTGAGCAAACTCCGGGAGATGGTGAGGGACAGGGAAGCCTGGCGTGCTGCAGTCCATGGGGTCACAGAGTCAGACATGAGTTAGCAATTGAACAACAACTATTTCAGAGAGGGATGCCATCTGAAGTCATTAGTGAGCAGTGTGATAAGTCCCTTCCTTATTAAACATGAAACCTGTTCATTCAAGTGTTGGTTGAGTGCTTACCATTTGCACGCCAAAAACACAAGATACAGCAGTGAATCAAACAGACGTCCCTGACCTCCAGGGCTTGTGCTATAAGGAAGGGAGATGGTCAGTCAACAGGCCATTGACAAATGCTGGGAAGAGTGTCCTGAGAAGGAAAAGTCAGGGGCAACCACCTGGGTGAAGTAGTCGGGAAGGTCGCCTTCTCTGTGCAGGTGGTACGCTGAGATGGGCGGGATGGCTGCAAGAGAGCTGCCCAGCTAGGGAAGGGCCTCACCCTTCCTCAGACTGAAAAGCCAGACTCTGCATTGCTGAGTCAGCCGAGTGTAAGAAGTTTACACCTGTGTTGCCCAGTGCCGTGGCCCTGGGCATCATTTAGAAATGAGATGTGAGCAGGTAAGAGGCAAGGGTTGTGACCCCACGATTCAGACCAAGAACCTCACCTGTGGTGGGTGTCTGGCGCTGGGTAGCCTGGGCCCTTCCTCTGTGTTTGTGTTGTATGTTCATGACCAGTACTTGGCGTCTGCTAAAGGTCTCAGGGCAGGTCTCAGCTGATCCTGCCACGGGAGAACAACTGTTTCAAATCTCTTTGTGAGTGAATCCAGACCACCGAAATTCCATGGCTCTCAGAGGCCTTACTACTGAGATCAGCAGCTTGCTGGAGGGAAGAGATAAGTACCTGAGGCCCACGAGTTGAGGGTTTTGCCCAGGCTCCCCAAGCGGGACAGGGAGTCTGTGCCCAGGACTGGTCCTGTGAGTGGAGAGGACCCTGTAATGGAGGTGGGCCCTCTCCATTTCCTTCCTTCTAAAAACTGCTTTGTAGCCAAAAATTTAACCACTTTCTTTGCCAAGAGCTTGTTTGATATCAATATAGTTCTGCTCAGACTAATTACTTTCCTCTCTCGGTCAACAGAAATGAAACTCTTTACCTCTCTTTGTGTTAGACTTTGGGACCATCATAATGGTCTTCGGAACTAAAGCGGGTTTTGTTCTGCTGTTCGAAGTGATGCAGTTATCAGTTTTTTTCACAAATAGCCCAGTACGCAGCCCCTGGTGGTGCGGGGAGCCCAGAAGCTCCCCACCATGCCTCCAAACTCCTTTTTCATCTCTCCACAGCGTTTTCCTCCACCTGATGAAGGTCGACCCGGACTCCACCTGGTTCCTCCTGAACGAACTTTACTGCCCGGAGGAGTTCACGCCTCCTCACCCCAGCCTCCACCCTGTGCAGCTGCGGGGCACCACCAGGCAGCAGAGCCCGTACTCGGCCAACGTGCTCCGCCTGCTCCCGGAGCTGCAGTGACCCCTCGCCTCCCCTTCCCGGGCGGGCAGGTGGGCGCCAGAGGAGGTCCCTTCCCTCCGCTGCCGAGGAGGATGAGGACGTGGGGCTGACCCCACCCTGGGGAGGGCGGTGGCAGCGGCAGCGGAGAAGACTGCCAAGGTGGATTAGACAGCCGATCGATTTATAAGTTGATCGATCACACAACTGCTCAGAAATTGGATTGAAGGAAAGCAGCCAACTGTTATTTATGTTTCATACCTGGTGTTTTCAAATGACATTGTCTGGCAGCTCTAAGGGCTTAACTCCTTAGCTCACCATCTCTGGGGCCCCAGCTGCCTCACAGGTCACCCCACGCACATACCCACACCCGAGAGCTTGGGGACACGTGGGGCAGAGGCCTGTGCATCGTGTGTGTCCTCTGAACACTCAAGGACCACGTGGAAGCGACACCCATCCACGAGTTTTCTGGTCCCTGGCCAGCAGCACCGACTCACACACCTCCCTCTCCTCAAATAAGGAGATGGAACCTCACCTGTTCTTTGGAAGAAGATGAAATAAAAGCACTTCTTGGATGAAAAGTATGATCAAGACCTCACTTTGAAGTTTGTTATTTAAATTGGGTGACTTTTTAAAAATAAGTTTATGTTTGTAAAGAGAGAATACAGAGAGTCATGGCATAAAATACAAGTGGTGCAAAACACTGAGAAGTCATTCTCCCCATCCTCATTCACCAGACATCTAGTTTCCCTCTCCAGAGGCAAACACTCCTAATAGTTGTTTGGATGACTTTTAAGTATTTTTTAACTGTCTATCATGGATAATGGTCTACTGAAGGCTACTGTGGCCGTGACCCAGTTGCACCAGTCAGGACTTGGCCAGCCCTGCTTCATCCTACTCCTTCCCAGTTACCTACCTCCATGCCCCCACTCAGCCCCTGCATATTTTGAAGCAAATCCCAGATGTCATATCCAAACTGGTTTTTGGTTTTTTGGTTTTTGGTTTTTTTTTTAATGGACAACCAGAATAGATGGGGCTTCCCTGGTGGCTCAGATGGTAAAGAATCTGTCCACAATGCTGGAGAGAGACCCAGGTTTGATCCCTGGGTCGGTAAGATCCCCTGGAGGAGGGAATGGCTACCCACTCTAGTATTCTTGCCTGGAGAATCCCATGGACAGAGGAGCCTGAGGGGCAGCAGTCCATGGGATTGTAAAGACTCGGACACGACTGAGCGACTAACCCACAGAATAGCATTAAAAATTTAACAATGGTCCTTTAATATTATATATTATATGTATATTATATATAATATACATATAATAATTATATAAGTCAGTGTTCAGATTTTCCCAGTGTGTTTGAATCAGGATGCAAATAAGGTGTGTACATTGCCATTATCAATATGTCCCTTAATAAATCTCTCTTAATTTATAGAGTCTCCACCTCTCTTTTCTTTTTCTGGGAAGTTTTTTGTTAAGGAAACAGGACATTTATTCTACAGCACTTCCCACATGTCTGGATTTACTGATTACATCCCCTTGGGGGTCATTGCACAGGCTCCTCCTGTCACCTGTATTTCCTATAAATGAGACAAAACAAGAGATCAGGGTTTTTTTGTTTTTATTTTTTGGCAGCACTCCTCTGTGGGTGGTATCACTCACTTCCATCAGGAGGAGTATGGTCTGATCTCTTCTTCTGATGTTGGCAGCCACTGGTGGGTCGCGCCTGGACCCACTCATTCATTACTGACCACAGAGCAGTGCTCTTCCCGCCCCACCACGCCAGCTGGCTTGTAGCTAGAGCCTTTCGTCCCTTCATCAACCATGCAGTAACCTTGAGGGAATTTGTGTGGAAAAGGCAGCACAAACACTTGATTTTCCTAGCTGGGAGACTTAAAACCCACAGATTATGTAAATTCAGGTATACAGCAGCGTGCACACACACATACACACAGGTGCTGAAGGGCACACGTGCAGGAATGATGAATGTTTTCTCAGCAGATGCATGGTGAAGCACTAGCTAGATAACTCCTCCAGTGACATAGATAATCTCCGAGCTCTAAAAAAAAAAAGAAATCCAGAAGATGGCTGGCATGGGGACCTTGTGGAGCAAGGGTCCCCCGCCCATTCCAGAGAGGCCCCACTCCTTGCCTTGCCGAGCCTCCATGCAAGGGCAGCAGGATGCCCAGCTGGCTTCTGGTCTGGCTCTGTCAGTGAGTCATCTGCCTCCCCCCCACCTCCGACAACTTTGGGCCTCAGTTCTCCCACCTGGAAAGTGGATGGAATGAGCCAGAGGGAGAACTCTTAAACTTGGACGATTCTAGACTCCGCTAGGAATCACTCCCTGAAAACATTCCTCCTCCCGTCACTCCCTGGAGGGTACAGCATCCTCCGAGACTGCAGTCACGGCCCATCTCCACCTCCCGCTGGGTCTGCTCAGCTGACCTCGAAAAATTCTGTGTCCAATTTCAGAGACCTCACCTGTGACCCCACAGGGACTCCAAGTTAAGAAGCCCTGAAAAGAGAGAGATAATCACTTAACTCTCTTCCAGTTTGAAAATTCTGGAGTGATTTCCTTTGGGGAAAGGGAGGAAATGCCCTCTAATTGAGGGGATTGTCAAAGGATTCACAGAGCATTGTTCCCGATTCCACTGGGGACACAGACTGATAGACTAATTCAATCTCTAGGTCCTGACAAATGAGAAAACAGGTCAGAGAGGTGGCGTGGCTTGTCTAGCATGACCTGGCTCCCAGAGAGATTAAAGCAGCCCTGTCTTCCTTCGGCAGGTGCCAGGGTGTGGCAGGCCGAGATGGTGTACCAAGGAGTCGGGATACATGCACACCCACCCTGTATCATGATATTAGAAATCTCGTGCTCTGGGGAAGCCCTCCAGGGGATAACCTGCGCGGGAGAATTTCCGTGATGTTCCAAAAACCCACCACTTCCTCAAAGAGTTAAGATATCCCGAGTCGCTTTCAGATTCCTGCAGGCAGATTGTTGCACTTGATTAAAAAAAAAAAAAACTAATTAGAGTGCCTCTCCGGTTATTATTACATTTGGGCAACTTTAATTTTGAACCTGTCCTGCTGACTCAATCTAGTCCTTATTAACGTTGACTTCGCAAAGCGATCGTTTCCCCCTGTTAAAACTTGCTGGTGCAGCGAAGGTTTCTCCTCATTCAGGGTGTAACTTGAATACCCTGAGTGGCAGGGGTAGGGGAGGAATGAACAGGCAGATGCTGAAAAGGCCCTGCAGTTGGGGTTGAGATGTTTGAGCTCTGATCTGCAGGAAGTGGAGGATTCAGGGATGTGTAAAGCTGGACCCAGGGGATCCTGAGAAAAGTTAGATGTGACCCTCGGCGGGGTGGAGGTGGGGGGCACCATCCTCTGGAAAGAACATGGATGTGGAGTTCATCAGAGCTGGGGTTGATTTCCGACTCTGCCTCTTCATAATGGCATGACCTCATTAGGTCATTTTACTTCATTTTCCCATCTCTAAAATGGAACCGCTGGGACTGCCCTAGTGGTCCAGTGGTTAAGAGTCCGCTTTCCAGTGCCGGAGGAGTGGGATCCATCCCTGGTCAGGGAACTAAGATCCCACATGCCAAGGGGCAACTAAGCTAGCGCACCACAGCTAGAGAAGCCTGCTTACCGCAATGAATATCCCATGTGCTGCAGTGAAGACCTGATGCAGTCAAATAAATAAATATTTTAAATAACTTAAGTAAAATGGAGCCACTGCCACTGCCTCTTTTGGCGGCTGCTTCAGGAGGAGTAAGTACTGCAGTCTCTGGTGAGTAAGTGCGTGCCTGGCTCCCAGGACAACATGCTGTCCTTCCCCCATCTCCCAACCCCACTGCTCATGGCTTTGTTAGGGATGCAACACCTCCTCCTCCAAGACACTTACAGCTGAGCAAGTAGATGGTTATGTCTCTGAATGAACTATCCAGGAACTACAGGGTACTGCAGCAGAGGAGGAGATAAGATCCTGAAAGATAGCAGACAGGCAGAGAGGATAAAGGGCATCCCAGACAAGGTAATAACATGCCCAGAGGCATCGGGCATACCTGCCAATATCTGTACTCATCATAACTCCTTCCCTTGCAGCTGGCAGGAGACCCAACTCAAACTGGCTTCAGCTACAAAGAAATGTCTGGGCTCGCATGACCAATGGGCCTAGCTGGCTTTGGCTCCACAGTCAGCCTCTGTCTTTTGATTCTGCTTCCCCCAGTGCTACCTTGCTTCTCAGGCAGCCTCTCTCTGTTAAGTGCCCGAGATGGCCACCACTAGTTCCAGACGTAGGTTCAACAAACCTAGCAGAGTGAGCTCCTCCTTGTGACAGCTCCAGTTCTAGTCCTAGCACTTGCTCTCCTCAGCTCAGCCGTTCTGTTGCCACGCCCCAAACCAAGCATTGTGCATCCAAGCGGGTATCCACAAACTTTCTCTGGAAAGGGCCAGCTGGCAAATATTTTAGGCTTTGCAGACAGGTTCTCTAGAACAGGGGTTCCCCACCTCTGGGATCTAATTCCTGATGATCTGAGGTGGAGCTGAGTAATAATAATAGAAATAAAGTGCACAATAAATGCAATTCGTTTGCATCATCCCCAAAGCACTCCCTCCTCTTTAGTCCATGGGAAAATTGTCTTCCATGGCTGGAAACTGCAGCTCTATGGCATCTTCTTCCTTGATATTTTTTACAACCTTTTCACATGTAAGCACTATTCTTAGCTCAGAAGTCCCTCAAAATAGGACAGGGGACCTTTTTTTTTTTTTTGCCCGGGGACCTTAGTTTGCCCTAATCTACATTTTCACAGGGAGGCCTGGAGGCAGGTGTCCGGTCAGCTCACCAAACTATATGGAGAGGGAACTGGGGTGGTTTCCCCTAAAAGGAAGCACTGCATTTCCGTTACCAGGAAAAGAGAGAGATGCTGGGTAGAGAGGGGCCAAGTCGACAGGCCTTCACCACCTCATGTCTGTGGCAGGTGACAAGGGTGGCTTGGCCATCTAGGGAGCGGGGTGTGTGAGGAGGTTGTGGTGGCTGAGGCCACGTGTATGAAGGGCCTTGACTTGTCAACCTGGGGATCCAGCCTTAAGAGATCAAGAAGGGAGGCCTTGGAGGGTTCTTGAATGGGTGAGTAATGCGCTGAAAGCAGCGTTTTAGGAATATTCATCTCGTGGCAGAGTGCAGGAGAAATTGGAAAGGAGAGAGCCTGGCAATGAAATTGTGTTTCTGAAAGTCCCAGGATGAGAAAATGTACCTCTTCCATCAACCCCAAACTGTTTGACACGCCGTGGTTCATGGGCAACTCGAGGCACATAAATATGTGCTTTAAAGTTTAAGAGTAAGAAGTGAGATGAATGGAACCTCTGATGAGGCTCCCTCCTTGTTCAGAAGCCCGGGGAGTGATTTTCCAAAAGCATCTCTGGCTGCGATGAGCAGGGCAGGGCTCCTCTCGCTTTGTGTGACTCACCCCAGCCTCTGTGTCGGCCTTGATTGGAAGCAGAGTTGCCCGTGTTGCCTTGCCTCCAGAGTAAGGAAGAGAAGCCAAATTTCAGAAAATAACTCTGAGTGATGGCTGCCTCTATGGAAGCGCCGATTGCTTTATAAATGGCCTTCCTCTCCCCACCCCCCACCCCCTTCCCCACAGAAGTTTGGAGGCAGCAGTGGCTTTCCAAAGTATGCTTGAAAAGCAGCCTGATTTCCCTGAGGAATCCTCTCCGAGAAGAGGAGCTGTTCTCCCTTTTTTTCCGACACTTTCACCCAGAGTACAAAGCCTGTCTGCCAAGGGCTCAGAGGGAGCGGTGCCCACTTCCCTCCAGAGCCATCAGCACCAGCCGTTTATGAAAATCTCTCTGGTCTCCCGTGTCTGGGCCTGCCCACCTGTGCAGCAGGAAAGGCTTAAAAAGCGCTGATGACCGGCTGCCTCCAACACCCGCTTCCGTTTTCCCTCCTTAGGTAATTTGCCATTCTTTTCGCACCACAGCTCCCAGGTTTCAACCTGCTCTCTTAGCCAGTAGCCTCACGTCCTCAGCTTCCTCCCACACAGGCGGCTCTGAAGTAAGGAAGAACCTTCTGGAATCTCTGAGGCCATTTCCAAGGGAAAAGATGGTGGGGGCGGGGGGGGGGTGGGTAGGTGGAGCAGGGAGAAGTAATGGAGATGAGTCAGAAGTTTCTTTAAGAAATAAAACATGGGAATTCCCTGGTGGTCCGGTGTCTAAAATCTGCCTTCCATTGCAGGGGGGGCACGGGTTCAATCCCTGGTCAG